GGCCCGTGACAGGTAATAGTGACTGGAGCAGCTGCGATGCAAGCGGGCGAAACCATAACAGTTCAAGGGCACTCTGGGACTGTCTTAAATCCGATGACGGGGGCCGGTTCAGGATCGGGGACGGCATGGGGGGGTGAAAAAGGAAAAGGATACATCACTCTTTCGATCTTTGCAGGCGGAGAAACCTTCCATTCAAGAAGTGAATCTATATGGCCAAGGATGTGGGGTCCTAACTCAATTCAGAGCGACTCACATTCTTCGGAAGCCTAAATTGGAGTCTGAGTGGATGGCGGCTTTGGAAGCATCCCCCCCCGTGCAAACAGCACGGAGAATGCATGCTCAGACAGTCGGCATCGGCCAAGGATGAAATAGCACCCATCTTACAGCTTGGGGAGCTTGTGAGAAAGTTAAAGCATCCGGTGGGGGTAGTTGAGGTGACAGTCCAACAGAACTGCCCATATGTGTATGTATGTGAAAGAAAAGGATGCCGCTCAGCCGATGGACTACTTGCACGATAAGTGACAAGTACCTGAAGATGGGCACCTTCGTGAGGTTCCTGCAGAGGGGTCAAACAGTGGACGACCAACGCAAATGTATATCCACGTGGACATGCTCAGGAAGAAGTTTTCCGACGCGCCACCAGGACAACTTGCGCAGCTGGCCAATCAAGCTGCCATGGAACCGCAGGACGAAAAGCCCATAGAACGGGCGGATGGGGTGATCGTGAACCTGTTCGTGGGCAGTGATCCGGCATGGCGGACAAGGAGGGCACCGAAGAACTGGGCTACGCTAAACCCTCCACAGCTTTGCTGGACTATGCAACTATCGCGCACCTGGTCAGCGTGGCAAGGTCTGGTAGGGTCAGAACTTTTTTGGCTGGGCCACCATGACCGATGTCAACTTTGCACCTCAGAGATGATGTGAGATCCAGGGCAGGCCAATAATAACGCTGACCGGACACTGGTGGCCGGTTTCGAGATCTCCAAAACCACTTCTCGGCATTTTCCCAGCGCTCATGCGGGGAAGTGGCGATGGTTTCGTTGGAGCTGCCAGCATTTCTCCGGAGCACTCTCAGCTGTGGTCCACCCGCAGTGGGGCCAGAAGGTCACACTCATCAGCTAGCGAAATGTTATCGTCTTCGGCACCTAGCGCATGGCAGCGATGCGAGCGGACAGGAGTTCACAACTCCTCTTCATGAACACAAGGGGCCGAGTATGCTGCCAAAGGGGGGTCCAGGACAAAGGAGCGGTCTGGTAAAGAACGCGCAACATTTCGGCTACCAGGGGGCCGTGGACATGGCGCAGAGTGCTGGCGGAAAGTGACGAAGCTTAGTGAGGATGTATGAGCAGCACATTGGATATGAGGCCAACAACAACAACTTCGAGATTGTGACGGAAGGGCCTAACATTTGCCGCGCACTCTGCGATCCAGTACTTTGCGGCCATGTTTTTAAACACTTCTGAAGTTTGGTTTGAACTGGGCCAGCTCTGGCCAAGTGGCCGGCATATTCTCCAAGCCGCTACTCCAAGTTTCCATAAAGGGCTAATGCGCGATGTTGAACATTTCACTTTCTCTGACCCTTCACCGTGCTGTTCTGCGAATCAAGGTCTAATGCAACCACTGAAAGAGTTAATGCGCCGGACATTCAACATTAACTATGCTCTTGCGAGCCTTGTATCTAAGTTTTACTACTTCTAACTGCACAGTCACAGTCACAGCAGGGGGCAGTAGCCCGCTCATGAGTCTACTGCCAACGAAGCTACTCATGAGTTGGGAGGATATCGGAGCTGATCACTCCGACGTACCTGCAGTCCATTTTTGTGGCGTTCTTAAGCTGTGACTCCAATTTGTCCGTTAAGTGCTAATAAATGTTCAACAGTTTTGTTCCTCGGACCTTTCGCCTTTCTGTTCCCTCAGCCAAGGTCTACTTGCATTAAAGGTCTAATTGCAGTAACTCTGGATTCTCGAAACTGACTCTTGCTCTTGCGAGCTCTCTATCTATATAAGTGTGTGCGTGTGTACTCCCTGGAATCACGGGTCTCCGGTCTCCGCGAAGCTTTCTTGCTTACACATCGCAGGATTCTTGCACAATCATTCGGCGCAAGCTGCAAAGCTGCCAAGCTTGCAGGCCACGCCTCCCATGCCGCCAGCTCCACTGCTCTTTTCTTCTGGAATCTCGGTCACCTCGCTTGAGCCACATTGAACAACAACTGTCTCATGTGGCCAAAGATCCTAAGGTCAAGGCAACACACTCAGTTGTTGTCATGAGTGATGCCACAGAAGCGGCATCCGCAAGGGCACTTCGGACCACAAGGGTTGGATCCTGACAAAGCTGAAAAGAAAAACATGCACAAAGTAAAGCACGCCAACAAGTGACAAAAAGAGTCACAGTCTTTGGGCGCACGATATTCGCAATTGAGGTCACGACAATGATGCCACTTCCAATCATGTCAACATACTCGTGTGTCTGGGCCTTGGCAAGCTAAGCAGATTCTGCTTGGGAAACATTCAAAGCACGGCCCATTGGAAACATTTCTGGGCACATTCTTGCAAAGGCATGGGGTGCATTGCCTGAGATCGCAGCATTGTACCCAAGTTGGGCGTCACCCTTCCTTGGTGTGATTTGTCTCACACACGCATCAAATCTGCTGTCCCCAGAACATGGCAAGCAAGGACAGGGAGAGAAGCTCGCGCTTTTGTGAAGAGGAGGAAACAGTTCTGCAAAGGCTCTTGAGGAGGTACTCGACAATGACAGAGCCTTCTTTACCTGCATTCTGTGTGATCGACATGATCGGTACCTGCCGCACTGGCGTTTCTGCTCTCGTCCTCCTTCGTGGGCAACTAGGCTGCAGCTGGACAAGAACACAGTCCAGATCGTTCAACCTACTTCCAAACAATACATTTTCCCCCCAAAGAATTCAGAGAAGTACAGGAGGTGTCTGGGGCTGACACTCTTGATGGCAAAATGGTGCATTTCTAACCAAAAAACACTCAGCAAAAACTAAACATATAACATATATCATATATCCAGTTGCTGTGTATGTTTTAATCCAGCAAGTCCCGAACTACAGCTCCCGCCTTCAAAGCGTGCTTGACAATGTCCTCTTAGGGATGCATACCGGAATTAGGATTTGAGTGGGGCTGCCAAATAGCCAGCCCACTTTTCTGATGTTTTCCACACGTGGATTCAAGTTTTCCAAAGAATAGCAGCAACTGCCAAGCAAATGTCAGATGTCCTTACCCACGTTCTGGTCAAAGTTTCCCAAGTCCAGGGTCTGAGAAAAATAAGCCAAGAGAAAGACATAATAAACACAAGGTAACGGCCTCTTTGATAACGCCACCTTTAAAGAGTATGAAGAAAGAACAGAACCAAAAAGAAAGGCTTCTTGAAGTCCAAATGTTTGAATGTCTTCTCTCTAGCGGCAGCGGGCTAGCTTATGCGCACGATGCTTCTCATGGAAGAAATGCCCTAAGCGATCGAAGAGTAATACACCTTGCCTCGAGCTTCTGTGAGCCTGAGTGATGGAAACAACACTTGGGATCGCATCTCGAACGGTCCTTGCTGCCTTTCTTACCTGAATCTATGTGAGGTGCTCATTTTGCTTGGGCTAAGGTGTCAGCAATAAAGCAGTGCAGATCCTCCTCCTGGCACTATGCCCTCCGAAACTGCAGCACCTGAGGATGGCAGGAGCTATGTGGGATTTGAAATTGTTCACTAAAGTGATCACATGACATGCACTCATATCTGGGCCACAAACGTGTGGCACACAATGCATCATCTAAGCGGTCCTTGACCTCTCCCACCTCCACTTCGGATGCCCCTCCGACCTATGCTTGTTCAAAGGGCTTGATCAAAACATGTGAAATTCCTACAACAATCGAACACAAAAACACACCTTGATGACTGCCACACCGCCGGACAGTTTCGCAAGACCTGAACTTGAACCACACCAAGCATCATACAGCCGGGCAAACATATTCATGGATTTTGTGTGCGTTGACAAATTGGAGCCGTTCTTGTCCATTTGCCCCAGCTGTGCCAAGGAAGGTGCGTTCTTTCAGCTTGTCTTTCTCGTATTGAGAGGTTGTGCCCTCCATTATTGCCTGGGCTAAGGGCACTTGCAAAGATTTGCTTTAGAAATTGTTATGTTAGAGAAGCAAGTTTTGGAGGACAGCCATCATCTTTGGGCCTCAATCTGTTCAGTTCGGGCTTGAATGTCTTCTTTGTTGCCTCCACCACCTCGGGAGCAACGAAAAGCAAATCAGTACTGTACCCATTTGCAATCCAGCAGCCAAGCCCTCGCCCTCGCCTAGGATCACCGTGTCATCCTTTGTGACTGAAATGTTCTCAGCCTTCAGCACGAACTCAAACTCGAAGCATATCAGGGCTTAGGGGAATGACTAGTGAAAGGTGCCCAAAACAAGCCAACTCACTCGCTACAGTACTACCCGAAATGAGCATCAGTTTTGCGCACTACACATCAACCCTTAGTCCAAAACAGTGCCCAGCCAACTGGCATCAAATGTCTCATCAAGCTTCCGTCCGGTCTCCTGCCGGCGATGCACACATGCAGTCTGACAATGCCAAATGCATCCCCTCAAATCGGCCTCACTGACTAGCTCGGCTCCACAAAGCACTGCCTGCTCAATTTGTTGGCTCGTTCAGGGACAAACTCTGTTTGCGTCCTTTCAACGGCATTCTTGCTTCTAGTGGCATCCATACACTAGCAAGGAGTAATTGTGTTCAAGACCAAAGGCCGACAAGTGACCTTGGCGTTATAGAGAGTAATCACTTGTTTTCGTTGCCCTGTTTTTCTTGCCTCTTGCTAGCCTCTGCGCTGTGATCAAGTGCCCTCGGGCCCCCGACCAAATCTTGTAGCATTGCCTTCCGTTGGTCTCCAAAGCCAGGAGCCTCTACCAGTGGAAACAGCATGGCTCCGTATCAGCAACATGGTCACATAAATTGTAGCATGGCAATTGTATGGTGGAGTTCGGAGTTCTTTTCCTTCTTTGGCAGCACTCCAGTCAGCTTGGCCGCTGCAAGCCACGAAATTTTTGCTGCCTGAAAAGTTGAAAGAAAGGACTTCTGCTCACATGGTCTCGCATGTTGATGATGTCCACTTGGCCACGTCGGGACTTTGTTCATTGGTTGACTGCTTCAATGGCTTGTTCAGCTTGATGGGCTTGACCTTGGTTTCTCTCGCCATGTTACAAGCATATATCTGCAAAGAGGCCTTTCTGTTGCCCCAAGGGCGAGGATCTGCTATCATGCAGCAGGTCATCATAGTGCTGGCCGGGCACCACAGGCTCGTCGGTAGCAGTGCTTTGTTTACATGAAGTTGTGTCACTCTTCCTTTCCAGCATGTGCAACTGCGACCTGGTAGGAGCCATCAAAGACCTAGACGACGATGCTTTCTGGCGCATTGCCTCGCGGAGCTAAACTGTGTGGAAATGGGCTTCAGTCGGTCGTTTCAACAATGTGTTTACTGGCTTTACGACATGCATTCAGCCTCGCTGATGGGCCTGAGCCACTGGTGCATCAAGCAATCCTTTGCATTCAGCCTCCTGGTATTGTCCTCACGGGACCCCTTTACTAGGTGATCAGCCTGGCCATCACATGAAGGTGGCAAACCTGGCTCTTGCTGAACTCTTGCTTCTATCAACTATCAAACCATGGCAAACTGTCCTTGGTCAAGGTGCCCACCAAAAGGCGTGCCATGTCCTTGGGATACGGCAGCATGAGGAAAAGCCTGGAGGTTAGCAAGAAGTAGGCTTGTCGGGCGAAGGGCTATGGTGAAATGATGTTGTGCTTGTATGTTTTCTTGATTGCTCCGCCCAGCCGCAGCATCCACGGTTCGAAGGGACTCGATCACGCCACTGGAGAACAGTTGTTCATCCACATCCCCCAGCCATTTCAGAAACTCGTGATCGCTCCCCGTCCTTGTTTCGCACTTGGCCGGTAGCGGGCTATGAAGCGGTGCTCTCTTCTAAGAGCAATGGCAACACTTCCAAACAGGAATGGTTACATCTGAGTATCTCTTTTTGAAGCTTTATGTACTGGTCCGTGAGGAGAGAAGCTAGAACCACAGCTTCCAGCGCACAAATCCCGGCACTCCATATATCCATTGCGGGAGTCAAAATGACCTCGATGCTCAAAGCGTAACTTGACTCTTTTTGGTTAGCCAAGAGGGGAAGTTTGGTAGGCCTGATTAAGCTGATTTATATATATTATATTAGTAGACCATATTAGTTATAGTGTATTATATTATACTTGTATCGATGGCATACTTACTGGGAAATCCTAAGAGGCTTGTGTGGGTCATTGAAGTCTAAGTGGTCATCAAAACGGAGAACCAGCCAGAAAACAACAAAGCACAAATAGCACAAAGGGAAGCTTACGAAGAAAATCAGAATCCAAATGCAGGACAATCATCTTATGTGGCTTTTCTCTTCATGCTGAGAGACTGGGCAATGCTTGGCTTGGCCTGGTCCTGCTCGTAGGTATGCTCGAGCAAGCTCGGGCGCAATGTATGCTGGCGTAAAAGTAATATCCCCAAACTTCGTGACAACCTTACAGGCTGACAGTTGGGGTAGCTGAATTTGAATTCAACTCACCGGCCTCGGGTCATTCAAAAATGGCAGGAACACAATTCCAAGTCAAAATGTGGCGTGTCACAAAGGCTCTTTATCAGAGACGTCTCGTTGATACCTGTCCCTTCACGTTGGTGGCCGTTCATATGTCCAGCGGACATCTGCAGTGCTATGAAGTTTAAAGTCTCCAAAGTCCAAAGTTCAGACCCTCTTGCAAACAGGCCACAGCTTCTACTAGGAGCAAGGACACTACTAGGGGCTCCTGGCCGTACTACTAGGAACAAGAAGCTACTAGGGCTCCTGGCACCGCTACTAGGAGCAAGGACGCTACTACAAGTGATGTTTTAAAGATGTTGCAGCTTACTTGGCATGAACCTTTAGCGGGAGGTTTCTTTAGCCGAGGGGTGTGGTACGTTTGAAAGCACTTCCGTAGTTCTGTGACACATCGAGCGGCTCCAGCTGGTACCACGCAATCCTCGGCGACCAAGCAAGACACTTGTGTTCGACGCTGCTAGGGGCTCCTGGCCTTACTACTAGGAGCAAGAAGCTACTAGGAGCAAAGGGCATCGCTACTAGGAGCAAGAAGCTTCTAGGAGCAAAGGGCATCGCTACTAGGAGCAAGGACGCTACTAGGGCCTATGAACCATAGCGCACTCCCTTCTGACAATGAGGGGTGGAAGAGACACCTCAACGGCAAAAACCCAAAGTTTAAAACGACAGGCGATTGGTAAATTGATGTAAATTGTAATTGTACTGGACAGCCCAACTCTGCGGGTCGCAAAGTATGACAAGTGTATAACATTGCACGGGCTTTAATACTTGCATATTGAACTTGTACATAAGCTCAGTGCCAAGTCGACCAGCTTCCATTGTGGGTTTCCTTCACCAAAGCCATTGGCATAGGCATGTGGGTGCTCAAACAGCCCAGCCTGACTGTGGGAAGCTCACAATATTCGATGGCTTGATGTCGAGGTGAACGAGATTCAGAGATTCCAGCCTTGCCACTTGACAGGCAGCCCCTGTCTTGGTGGATTTATGACTCACGTGGCCTCTAGTCAGCCGGGAAACTTATAGGCCATCGAGAATAGGGACCAATGTAAGTCGCGAAGTTCTGCCATCGAGAGCGCTGATGCATCGCGGTACCTTGTAGCCAGAACATCTTCCTGGACAGAGATTTCAGGTAGAAAGATTGGAAGACCGCTGTTGTCCCTACGCCTCAGAATACAGTCCTTAGCACTTGCAATTACCTACTACTTGAAGGCCTTAGAATCAGAGTCTAGGGTCTAAACCTCCATTGTTGTTTTATGATAGGCTAGCAAGAATGCCTCTTTACCAGCTATTAGTAAGTATGCCTTGGAAGTCATGCTCCCTTTAGAGAATGGCTTATACCGCTTCCGCCACCCCCGAAGACTCCAAGGATCCAATGACGGTCCACCAAGCTCCAAAATGTGGAAAAGAAAACCCAAGTCGGGGCCAGGAACACCATGGTTCGCAGAATGTGCCACAACTTCCACAAAAAGACCTGCCCAGAGAAGATCAGAGAAGTACAGAAGACAGGAAGCACAGATTGCACGTTACAAAACAGCCGCGTGCAAGTTGCTAGGAAGCATTCCAACACATGCCTCTGTCAGTGCGGTCTTGCAATCTCTTCCCACTCTTGCCATTCAGCAACTTACCAACTTGAATGGCATTGTGAAAGCAATGCAAGCTTGTCCTGGAGGGGAAGTCCAGCTACATCCTCTGCATACTCTAGTGTTGAACACTGTCCTTCCAATGTCTTTGTACACCTTGACCGCCACAAACTGGCCGGACTCGAGGTCCCGCCCCTCGTACACTTTCGCTGCACATCCTTCTCCAAGTTGTGCAGAGCGCTTGAAGACAAACCTTTGGCAGGTTCAAGCAAATGTCAACAAGGAGCCTTCTGTGGAAAGTTGAACAAATCACCGCTGCTAGCCGGCCGCCAAAGCTTCTACACCCAAACTGGTTTGATGTAGGAATGAATGAATGGGAAAATGGCTGGCTGTGGGGGTGTTAGTCACAGGAACCGTGGGCTGGTGAACCTTGTTGCCGGCAAGTAGCAAACCTCGTGAACGCTCCAGTCTCTAGTCACCGTGGTCATCTCTTGGCATTTTGGGCCCTTAATGTCTTCTTGAATGGACATGATGGTAAGGTCTGGTAATTGTCATTGTATGCAGCAAGAGCTGCTGGCCCACACAGGGCAACGAATTCTGATGCACTCTACGTTTGGAAGAATGCAATGCTTGTCACCCTGTTGGAAACATTTTGAAACATCAGCCAAACCTTTAAGCATCTTCATACCTTGCCAAGATGTGGACGGCTCAAAACCACGGAGAATGGGCGACGGGGCCACGCCGTGTCGGTTTAAAAAACTGATAGACTGTAAATAGTAATGGTACAGGGAGTATAGTATTTGACAGCACTTTCGACTTGCACCCAATCCCGAAGACCAGCACCTTCCATGCGGAGTTTCCAGCTGTTGAGTACTGGATCCGCCCAATGGATGCCCTCGCATGGCCATGGATTTTGCATAGCCATGGCGTTCCAATGAAGCTTTGCTCTAAAAACTCCGAGCCGCCTACCTTCTTTCTTGAACAGCTTTCAGCATCAGAAAGTGTGAAAGTTGCAAGGTATGGCAGGGGGTGGGTCGGCAAATTGCTTCCCATCTGCGCTACCTACCAATTTGCCCTGCTAGAAGGAGATGTGGTCCCCAGTGGTCTCCCATGTCGTTTCACTGACTTCTCCCCTGTAAACTCACGGTGTTGTCTCTTCAGTTCCAACGCTTGGGCCAGGAGCAATAGGACAGGTGAGAATGTAGATTCAACATACCATATTTAACACCAATGCGGAAATTCACAACCAGCGTTCCACCATGTTTTGCTGCTTGGTCTTGGTGCGGAAAAGTGTGCACTGCGCACAGGATGGAAGAATGCCTTGACTGCTGCCAGCTGCAACCCCCCACGGAGCTTGTTCACAATCATCGTTGCTAAAGCCTTCCATGTGCAGAGTGTCCATGTAATTTTATATAGTATTCACATCACCAAGTCATTCCAAAATGAACAATTTTGGAATTGGTGTAGTTATTAGACATTGTGACATTGTGTATATTATTGGCTTGCATGATACCAAACTATCAACTGGTTGGTGTATTTTGGATAATGTGTGTGTTGAGGATCAGCCGCTTTCAGGCTCAATAGAATCAACTCACCCACCTCGTTCTCTACATCCTCCGCAATGATTAGTAGCGGTCGCTGGGCTTTGGCAGCGTGCTCCAGGATGGGGAGAATGCTCTGAACCTCAAGAAAAGCTGCTGAATAGAAGTCGAACTAGCATGTCATTACTAGGAAAACCCCACTTGAGCTCGCTGCGGAGGATATCTTTTTGTCATAGATGAGAACCAGAGGCTTTGCAAGCACGCTTTTTTGTGCCTCGGAGACACACAAAGATCACAATAGCACAACGACAGTAATTAAGGGAGCAAGGCATCTGTCAAGTAGCAACAGGGCATTGGACCCAACTGCTGGCACTGTGCACAACAATTTCTTATATCATATTATTCATATGATATGAATCATATGAACTATTTGTGCTTATCCGTTGCAACAATCGTTTACAATCGTTTACCAACTCAAGATGATGAACATGACTTCCTTGCAAAGGGCAGCACGTGGCCTTCGTGTCTGTGATGAAGTACGGTGAGATAAAGCCTCTATCAATCTTCATCCCCTGAAGAAGTGACACGCGTCAAAATCTTCCCTGCAAGGTCTTCTTTACTTGGCCGCTGTTTGAAAGCATCACATGCCTCAACAATTTCAAGCTCGTGGTCCAGGGTCTTGCCCTGCCATGAACTCCAATCGCAATTGAACAAAACTGCAGAGCATTGATTCAGTTGCGCTGTATGTACGGAATGATGATTGGGTCAGTCAAAGCTATCTCTTTGTGTTGCTGCATGCGCCTCCGCCACTGTGATGGTTCCCTGCTTCCCTACTTTTTCGAAAGCATCGGCCACCATCTTTCCGATGCCAGCATCTCCATTGGCAGAGATTGTCGCGACCTGCTCATGCCACAACGCCTTCCTATGATGCCTGGTACAAAGAGTTGCCATTTTGCACAAGCATTGCCGAGATCCAGCCTGCTGAATCTCTGACGGTTTTGAAATTGGCTTCGATATCTTTTCAAGCTCCTACAAAGTCAGTCAAAGATCTGTGTCTTGGGCAGATAGTAGCACGTGAGGATATGAGGGGAAATGCTGGTGAAGACTGTGGGGAACATGTTGCTTTTTGGAGTATGCCGAATTGTAATGTACAAATGTGTTTTCCTCCTCTTACAGGATGTTCCATACATACTTCACTCGCAAGCAGCACGGGAAGCCACGAGAACTGGAAGGTGATCTTGCATTGCATGGCCCTTGAAAACGGGAAAGAATGAACGAACGGTACGAACGGTCTAGAGGTCCAGCAAGAAAAGAAAAGAAAGAAAGGCTGTTGGTAAAACTGTTTCCCCATTCCCTGGCGTCATGCATGGTGTTCAGTACTACTATGCTCTTTCCGTTATTCCTTTAGACGTGTTCCTTCCTTTCCTGCTTACATAGATTAGACATGTTCGTTTCTATCACTGGCCGCTCTCGTAGCAAACCAAGTCGCAGATCCACGAAACTGCCCAGAGCCGTTGCGCTGGTATTCCAGCCCATGGCACAGTGTCGCCCAAGAAGCAACCCCCCAACCAAGCAGCCTGTTCTCAAAGAAGACGCCAGCAGTAAACTGTTGGAGGAGGAAACACATATACTTCTCTTGGATGTGCACATGGAGCAACAGAACAAATCAGTGCGATTCTCCCGTGCATGCAGGACACACAAACATTTACAGAGAACACGGGGATTACCAAAGAGCACTGAACAATAGCAGTCCACTGGCGAAGCGAGAACATAAGATTATAATAGATTATATGCCAGTGAGCTGAGAGGGTCAGGATAAAAAGGAATTGGGTGTCAGAAAAAAGACAGCCGGGCCAGGACGATGAAGATTGGCTCAAAGGCATGGCCCTCCTCGAGGACAAGCTTCACAGCCGCATCGATGCCGCGCTTCAAGTCCATTGGGTTCATGCCTGCAACAACCTTGAGAGCTCATCTATGGCTTGTGGTGCAGAAGATAAAGGATCCAAAGAAGATAAAAGGTCCAAAGAATAATGAAGAGAAGAGACTGGCCTCAAGGTCTAAAACGTGAACAGAATATATAAGCCTAAAACACCAGCAAAACAAAAAAACAAGTTTATGGAAGAGAGAGCACGCTTTGATTTTAGTCTGTGGTCATAGTCCATGGTAGCTTGGTGCCCAACAGCCTTGGTGCCCTCACCTTGGAAGCTCAGATTGATGCACTGGATCGGAGAGGAAAAATAGCATGAGCATGCATGAGCCATGAGCCTATTGCTGATTGGTAGCCAAATGCCAGAACAGAACAGAGCTTGAGGTGGCAGTCTCCTTTATCAAGGGAATGAGTCTCTGATTGGTAGTTGTCCGAGCGAAATTGGGATGTAACCAGATGTAAACTAACTGGTAGCTGCAGCGGCAGCTATCGCAGAGGGACATTCTGAAGTTAGTATATCCGCCGACCCCGGCCTATAGCCAAAGCCTAGGCGGGGAGGCGCCTGGGACACCGCAGGGTGAAGCAGTTGGCCAAGTCTTCAAACCCCTCGGCAGCAGGCCTGCCTCTTCTCTTCTAATCGCAGGCCTGCCTCTTCTCTTCTTATGGGCTTCCAAAAGCGACGTTTTGGCCTACTCCTGCACCGCAGCCTTGCCCTCTTCCTCTTCTCGGCAGCTCGCAGGCCTGCCTCTTCTCTTCTTATGGGCTTCCAAAAGCGACGTTAGGCATTTTGCACCGCCTTCAAACCCTCCCCCGCGACTTCAAACCCTTCCCAGCGCCTTTGGCCTACTCCTGCATCGCAGCCTTGCCTGCGTCAGGCGGGAGCCTGGGGAGAGAGCCCTGGAACGTGCAGCCCGTGCTCCTATGGGCTTCCAAAAGCGACGTTAGGCATTTTGCACCGCCTTCAAACCCTGCCCCGCGGCTGCAAACCCTTCCCAGGTTTTGCCCTCCCCCGCGGCTTCAAACCCTTCCCAGCGCCTTTGGCCTAC